ACTTGTTTGTTGGACCCGTGCCCCTCCTGGCTGGTTTTGGCCAGAACGGAGGTGACACGAGGCTGGCTCCAGGCTTTAGTTAACGCGTCCTTGAGGGAAGAGGCCTTCCCGCAACCATTAAAGGAGGCGGTTGTAAGGCCTCTCCTCAAGAGACCTTCCCTGGATCCAGCAGAATTAAAGAACTTTCGTCCAGTCTCCAATCTACCCTTTGTGGGAAAGGTTGTAGAGAAAGTGGTGGCACTTCAGCTCCTGCGATCATTGGGGGAAACGGATTATCTAGACCCTTTTCAGTCTGGCTTCAGGCCTGGCTACAGCATGGAAACTGCTTTGGTCACGCTGATGGAGGATCTCTGGCGAGCCCGAGATGGGGGGGGTCATTCCTCCATCTTGGTGCTACTTGACCTCTCAGCGGCTTTCGATACCATTGACCATGGTATCCTTCTGGGACGACTAAGGGAGCTTGGAGTGGGAGGCACTGTGTTACGGTGGTTCTCCTCCTATCTCTCTGCTCGATCACAGTCGGTGTTGGTAAGAGGACAGAGGTCGACCCCTAGTTCCCTCGTTTGCGGGGTGACTCAGGGCTCGGTCCTCTCTCCCCTCCTATTTAACATCTACATGAAGCCGCTGGGTGAGATCATCCGACGATACAGGATGAGTTATCAGCAATACGCTGATGATATCCAGCTGTATATCTCTACCCAGCGTCAATTCAGTGATGCGGTGGATGTGATGGGCTGATGCCTGGAGGCTGTGAGGGTCTGGATGGGAGTCAACAGTCTCAGACTTAACCCAGACAAGACTGAGTGGCTGTGGGTATTGCCTCCTAAAGATTATGTTCATTGTCCATCCTTGGTTCTGAGGGGGGGGGGAGAAATTGTCCCCCTCAGAACAGGTTCGCAATTTGAGTGTCCTCCTAGACTCACAGCTAAGATTAGAGAAACTTCTGACAGTGTGGCTAGGGGAACCTTTGCACAGGTTCGCCTGGTGCACCAACTGCGACCCTACTTGGATCAGGAGGCTCTCCTCATGGTCACTCATGCCCTTGTCACCTCACAGTTAGATTTTTGCAACGCGCTCTACATGGGGCTACCCTTGAAAAATGTTCGGAGACTACAGTTGGTCCAGAACGCAGCTGCGCGAGCTGTCATGGGTGCACCTAGGTACACCCACGTTACACCAATTCTCCGTGAGCTGCAATGGCTCCCTATTGGTCTCCAGTCACAATTCAAGATGTTGGTTATTACCTTTAAATCCTTACATGGCTCAGGGCCAGGGTATCTTCAAGACCGCCTTCTACCGCATAACTCCCAATGACCGGTAAGATCCCACAGAGTTGGTCTCCTCCGGGTCCCATCAGCTAAACAATGCCGGCTGGCGGGCCTGCCGGGGGGGGGGGGGGCTTCTCTGTGGCTGTCCCAGCTCTCTGGAACCACTTACCTCCTGAGGTCCAGACCATCCCCACCCTATTGGCCTTCCGAAAAGCGGTGAAGACCTGGCTTTTCTGGCAGGCCTGGAGCCATTGATCTCGCTCTTGCGATCCGGTGAGATCCGGCCATGAATGGTGTGAATGAGTTTTAATGTTTTTAATGTTTAAATGTTTTTTATAACGATTTTAAATGCATTGTGAGCCGCCCTGAGTCTTCAGAGAGGGGCGGCATAGAAATGGAATTAATAAATAATATACTGAATTTGAAATTTGCTGGTACCAAGGATGGGAATGTGCCTTCCTTGGTAATCTCCTAATCTAATAGGGCATGGCCTAATTATCTTTTTGGAGATTTGGGGAACCAATCGCTTGATGGTACTCCAGGACATCAGGGACATGAATGACCCTGTGTCCACCTCCATTTTACATGGAGATCCCTCTAATTTAACACTAATGATTTTTTTTTTCTTGCTATCCCAGCTGGCTTGCCCAATTATTGCTTCAGGGGAGCATCTAACTCTTGTAATGGTATAGCAGTCTTCTCCCGTTTGAATTTTTAAAAGGAATCTTTCTAAAAAAAGGTGTTCTGGCAGTGGGCCTCAAGGTGGGTTAAGGAGCTCTGCAGACTCTCGCCAGGTGTCCCTTCCATCCACATCTGAGACAATCTGTATTTCTGAATTTGCACATAGCTCATAGGTGATTTCCCCCGCAGCTGAGGCACATGTTCTGGGAAGTTGGTTTTTCTTTGTTGTCACTGTTGCTGGTAGGCAGCTTGAGTGGTGAACTTCTTCTTCTTCCCTCGGGTCACCCTCTATCTCTGCTATCTCTGAATGGATTGATTCAGTTTTGGCGGCAGAACCTGAGATATTTGTCTGCTAGATCTCAGTAGCTGATTTGCTGGACAGCTCAGCAGCTCTAACCTCATCTACAGCTAATTGTAATGGCAGCTCCATTTTGGTCAGCAGATAGTGCTGTAAACGGAGATCTCTAATGCCACAGACAAGCCTGTCCCATAAGGCATTGTCTAAATTCTCAAATTCACAATAAAGAGTCGCAGCTCGCAGTGAGGAGAGATATTGGTTAATCGTTTCTCCTTCTTTTTGGTTTCTATGATAAAAGGCATGTTGCCTGTCTATCATAGAAGGCATAGTGGAGTAATGATTTTTTAATTTTTCACATATTACTTCTCAAGCCACAGTATGTAATTTCTGAGAGGCCACTAAATTCCTAGCTGTTTCAAATACCTCATTTCCGCATAAGGATAAAAAAATACTGTTTCTTCCTATCGCTAGAGATTTCTGTAAATTCGTTAGCTAATAAGAAGCATTCGAACTTCTCTAAGTAAATGTCTCAGAATTTGGTTGCGGGATTAAATGAGGGAAAAGTGGGCAGGGCTGCCATTCTCCTCAGACGCAGGAACCTTGTTGCCTTTTAGTAACGCCATGCGACTTAGTTGCTGGACTTCAGCTCTTGAAGTGACAGCTCTGTTTAATGACTCGCTCCGTGGTCATTTCTCGTCTCTCACCTCAGTCTGGGAAGTATCCCACCTTCAATGCCAGTTGTTAAATCCCTAGATGGGCTTGACAGACTGAGGTGAGACAGAGCTGAAGGCTAACAGGTTTATTGGCTAACAGTAAATAGCTAACAGTGACAGCTCGCGGCGGCTGCTTGGCTCACAGAGCAGCAGCTCACCCAGCACTTTGACAGGTCTTTTATACTCCCGCCGGCTGCATCTCGATCTATCAGGATGCGCCGGGGCTCCTGCATCAGGTGCAGACCAAAGAGCAAGCAGGATGCAGCAAATAGCAATAGCACTTAGACTTATATACTGCTTCATAGTGCTTTACAGCCCTCTCTAAGCAGTTTACAGAGTCAGCATATTGCCCCAACAATCTGGGTCCTCATTTTACCCTACCTCAGAAGGATGGAAGGCTGAGTCAACCTTGAGCCTGGTGAGATTCGATCTGCCAAACTGCTGGCAGCCAATGATCAGAAGAAGTAGCCTGCAGTACTGCACTCTAACCACTGTGCCACTGTGGCTCATATATAACAAACATAATTACTATTAGTGTAATTGGCCTACCTCTAAAGGAATGGGATCCTATTCCTACAGTCAAAAAATGGTTGAGTAAATCACAAAGCCGATGATGCTAGAGTAAAAGTGAAGAAAAGCGCAAGTGAGGACACCAATCAAACAGCAATTCAGAAATACCTTACTTAACAGTTTTATTGTTTTTTGTCTGGTATTATCTAATAGTTTTTCATTAATACTTTAAAACTTTTTCTAACAAAATAACAAAATCTAGTTTTGTATACCACTTTTATTGTTCTTATTTAAGTATTAAATTCAAGAAATAACAAACTACCTTTTGGTATATCTTTTTTTTATACTTAAAACTGTCATTAGGGCAAAGAAGCGATATTAGGTTGGCCATGCCCACCCAGTCACATGCCCACCCAGTCAATCATTAGGGCAGAGAACTGGTTGTTAAATTATTTGAATCCCACCATGGATCAAACCATGCAAAGGATGGGTTGCATGTGGCTGATGTTGTCTCCTCTCCTAGCACAGACCCACCAGAGATTCTACTGACCCCTTGCTGGAAGGAAATACCCCCCCCCATACCCTACTTTGGATCCTTTCTTGGAGAGGCTTGAGCTGATCAGGGGCAAGAGGTTAAATTTAAATTGCCTCCAGAAGTTGTGGTTGCCCCATTACTGGAGGCTTTTAAGAAGAGACTGGATAGCCATTTATCAGAAATAGTATAGTTATCCTGTGAGAACAGTGGACTAGATGACTTCCAAGGTCCTTTCCAACACTATTGCAAGCCAAGAGCTGAACAAATCCTTCCACCACCTCCCTCTGGGTTCCTGCCTGGAGATGCTTGAGCTGATTAATGGCAAGTTTTTTTTGTTTTTTTTTAAAGTGACTCAAGCCAAGAGCTCTGTAAATTCCCCACCCCATTTTGGCTGCCTGCCTGGATTGGCTTGAAAAGACTAGCAAGTGATTTTTTTTTTTAAAAGCAACTGCAAGCGGAGAGTTCTGGCAGCATGCCTGGAGCCAATTGTTCCTGAGTGGAAAGCTGCACTGGAAACAGCTGATGGGAGACCGGCAGCATTGGGTAAAGTCTCTCCATTTACTTAATGATAGCAGTGATCAATTAACAAATGGAAAGAAATAGTAAGTCAGATCTTTGTTCATTTAACGACCCATTTGACTCAATTAATGAATTTGATTTTAAAAGATCTTAAAATTGAGTCTGATTCATTTGATGACATTTTTGACAGGCTCCATTAGGACTACCTATATTTGTGAAGTAAATAGTAAGCAGATCTAATTAAACCAAGTAAGGTGATCAAGGAGTTTCCATTTGATTTATATGTCAATTGCTATTAACCCCAGCCTCTATGACAGTGGCAAGGATTTAGAGAATTCAAGTCCAAACTATAGAATTGGAAATAATTCTCATTGGAAGAGGAATTCAGAATAGACCTAGAAATCTTTGTGTATTGATATTTTCATGGGCTGTTTCATAAGTATCAAATCCATTTGAAAAATAAATGGCTAAATATCTTTTTTTGTATTTGCGTACATTTATTAAGTTACTTCAAGATACACAAAGGAAAAAAACATTAGGAAAGAAAGAGAATAGGATATTATAAGGTAAAGCAAAATGGGAATCTCCCTTCCAAAAGGTCTTCACAAATGAAAAGAAAATTTATTTAAAGAACAATATAATTATAATACAACTGAACAAAAACAGTGGTACTCCAAAACAAGCAGTCCAATCAAAAACAAAAACAAGTTAAACAAAACAAGGAAGTCTTAATTTCCCACCACCATTTTCTCCACAGCCATCTCAGAATGACAAATAGTTTTTCATTATAGAGAAAGTTAACCGTATTTATAAACAGTTTCAATACTGGAGCGCAAACTTATCTGTTGCAGAATAGTAGTATCGATCTCCCATGGATTTTTTCCAGCTGAGCCTCTAAAACATCTTGATATGCAGTTTGATCACGAAGTCAAGTCTCAAACATAGGCAAAACACAGTGAGGATTGGGAGCAGCTTGTGCATCACACGTCAGTTGATGAAGAGCTTAGGGCACCGGTAGTGCAGGGCAAGGCAGTGGCTAATCTTGCCTTGTGGTGCAGGGAACTGGTGAGCCATGCCAGGTACGTGCCTGTGCAAGGAGGTTCTTTCACTTTGGAGCTGGAGAGGGTGCCAGACACTGCCTGGAAGTGCTTAGTTCAGAGGCGGAGGGCTGCCTCATCTTGCCAGAACATCTACTGAACAGCAACAGCGGTTCCCTCTGGAGCGCCATGTCAGGAAGCCCTGCACATTCTCAAGCCTCTTGATTTACTTAATTATTGTGGAGGTTCTTAATGAACAGAAGCAAACAAGCTTGATTTTAGTTTGTTTAACAGCCCAGATGATTCACTTAACAAACACGATAAAAAAATGAGTCACTTATTTTATGAGTTTTGACTTACAACACAAATGGCCAGGCTCCATTAGAGTCATACTTCAAGGACTACCTGTAGTACCACAATTTTATTTAGAGCATCCTGTGTATTTTGACCATATCACTTAAGAAACTTATTTATGCTTTTATAGTTTTTTCAGTTTAAACAATATCTGACCTTCCGAGACCACATCATGGCTTATTTCACTCACAGAAATATATATTTCTTTTCACATTCCATGGCAATTCCTTTCTGTATTCCCTACTATGTGCACCTTTTTGCTCTTGGCTCAATCTTTACTTCCAAATTCTTCCAAGTCTTGCTTACCTGTATTGTACTATTTTCTAAATCTACAATTTAGATTTGGATCCCAGTAATTTATTTTCTTTAATCATTTCCACAATATTGGTCTTCTGTTTAATTTTTATTCTTATCCTCTGGTTAATGAAAAACTAAGTATAATTGATTGAAGTAAATATATACCATATTTTCATTTTCCCTCAACTGTTCACCTTTTGCGTTAATAAGCTGTCAACTCCCTAAAGCAGGTATTTACAATGCTGCTTATTATCCTTTAAAGTGCCCTATACTTGGTAATAGGGCTGTGCATGCTTCAAAACTCGTTCTGAAGCAAGGCTTTGAGCTTCACATGAGCACATTTCTCCCCTACTAATTATAGTAGTAATGTTTTTCTTCCATCTTTCATACAAGCCTAAAAATGATGCCATTGTTTTCAGAAGTTAAGTAATTCAAGAAACTCTTAAAGCAAAACAACAGATACAGTTGTTTTAATTAATAGCAGTGTTGTACCGGTAGTGCTTACACAAGGCACAAAACAATACTTGTGAATGCATGCACAGCTCTAATATAAAATACTAGCTGGATACCAATGCTTTGCTACAAAACTATGTGATCATGCTTGATAAATCAACACTTACAGCTTGAAAATTAATGAGTAGTTACAATCGACCTCTCCTCTCCCCTTCTCTCCCTCAGCCTTGCCGCACAGAGGCCTCTCCTATCCCATCTCCTTCTCTCCCTCAGCCTTGCCCCACAGAAGCCTCCCCTATCCTCTTCTCTCCCTTAGTCTTGCCTCACAGAAGCCTCTCCTCTCCTATCCCCTTCTCGCCTTCAGGTTTGCCCCACAGAAGCCTACCCTATCCTATCCCCTGGTTGCTGCTGTGAAAGTAAAAGTGAAACTCCTCTCTTCTGCTTGTGTTTTGCATTTGGAACAAATTTCTTTTCAGGTGGGGAGGGGGGAGTAGAACTCCTTAGCATCAGAAGGCTGTTTGGAAAGTGAAAAAGTATTTGCTGTGTGAGCAAGGAAACAGGAAGGAGCCTGGCCGCAGCTTAGCTCAAGTGTTCTGTATTAAAGCTGCTTCCTGCTGTGAAAGTAAAACTGAAAGTGAAACTCCTCTCCTCTGCTTGTATTTTGCATTTGGAACAGATTTATTTTCGGGTGGGGAGGGCGAGTAGAACTCCTTAGCATCAGAGCATGTTAATTATAATATACAAAATACTAATGCTGTGATGCTCATTTCGAAAAATCCTTTCTTAGTGAGCACCTAGAAGCCAAGAGGAACATATGTGCCAAATTTCAAGTTTGTAGGCTTCCTGTTCTGGAGATTTCGTGATTACAGCATAAGTGGTTTTCGCGTTTATATATACATATATAGATTGTCACCCCTGTATTAAATTCGTATTTTTCTAACTGCTCCAAATATAAATAAAGTGACAATCCCTTTATCTCTTTGACCCTAGAAGATGGTAATTTCCCTTCTATACATTCCACCTATGAATGATACATTCACAGAATTACAATGAATATGAGCACCTGATTACCTTATCTCCAAACTGTACATGTTGAGTGAAAACCAAAGGCTTTTCTCTATAATTACAAATTCCGTACAGAGCTCCAATTATTTGTAAAGACATTTATATGTTAACCCCCTTTTCATTTCATCTTCTGCAAATACAAGATTTTCCTACAGATATTTAATATTTATAGTAAAAATAAAAATAGCATGCAAACAAAAGTCTCACAATAAAATTAATTGTTCCAACAATGAATTAATAAGTAGAAGTACATCAGAGTAGAAGGAACACCTAGAATACCTGACCAATTATTGAAGAAATAGTTATGGAGAAATTAAAATTAAATGTCAAATCATCACTCAGGACTGCATTGTTCTTTGTTAAGAGAGGTGGTTACAATAGGAGATGCTTTCATCTTCTGATATAGGAATAAATGTGTATGTAAAAGACCTTAGTGAATCATGCATAAACATGTCTCAGTCTAGAGATTTCATAATTAATACACAGATTTTCTATGTTGTTTACCACTTCACAAATTTTCAGAAGGAATCAGTACATTATTCACTCTTACAACAACTAAAATTAAAAGATACGATTTATATGAACTAGCTTTTCAAGTTGTGTACAGAGAATCCCTAGTTCATAAGTCATTTAACATGGAAGAAAAGTAGTTGGGAAATCTCTTCAAGGCTATACTGATATTCAAGTTATCATTGTTGTATTCTAATTAAAGAATAGTTTACTGAGTATAAAGAGACCAAACTAGTCTACAAGAAAAACCAAATGAAGAATAGAAAAGAGGTAACAGCCTACAAGCAAGAACTGGCGGGATCACAAAATAGACAAAATAATAAAAAAGTGAAGAAGCTAAAGTGCTCCAGGACTTCAGAATTCAAAAAGACAAGCAGCTGTCACATAACATCCCAGACTTAACAACTGTTGATAAGATAAAAAGGTCTGGATATTGGACACTGCAATAATGGAGACAACAGAATAAAAAAGAAAGAACTGGAGAAAATCAAATACCTACAGAACAACTATGGCAAAAGAAAACAAAGACAATACCAAAAGTGATAGGTGCTTTGGCTGCAAATTCAAAATATTTGGAGCTTCATATGGACACCACTGGCATTAATGAAATCACCACTAGTCAACTGCAAAAGGATTAGGGTTACAATATGTATTTTCTGGAATGAAAAAAACTATAATCAGAGTAACAATACATATTTTACACATATGTACTTTATTTCTACAGGAAATCCTTGAATTATGAATGTAATGGAGCCTGCCAGTTACATTCTAGCTTGAGGATTTGTTAATTGGATTACGTAAAAGGAACGAGCCCATCCCTCCTCTTTCCAATGCATTTGTTAATTGAATGCACAGGTCGTTAAGAGCATATCGGGTACCTCAAGAGTGAAAACCATTGAAGGCCTAGTGCAGACACAAGACCACTGCCTCCAACCACCCAAGGCCTCCCTTTGTGCGGTGACACAAATGGAGACAACCAGGCAGGTTTGGCACTCCAGTAAGTGGCAGGGCAGGTCTACGCCCATTTGTGAGATAGGCTGGGGTTCAGTAGGGAATGGGAGAGGCAAACCCAGCGCTCGCAAATTGCAAAAATGTTTTTCCAAAGAAGATGGAAGTATATGTAAGAACACAGGGTCTAAGGAAAACAACTTCACATTGATGTCTTGAGTTCTGGAGATCTTCCAAAGGCAAACGAGAGGTCAGTGACAGATGGGGAGAAGCATGTGGAATGTGGTGGGCTACCAAAGCAAACTCAATGCCTGCAGATACCCGACAGGGCATGATGGGGGAAAATAGGCAGGGAGCATATTGCAGCATCTCTGCATCTCAGTTGTAAGGGTGAATGACCGCTGTGGTGCTACAACAGATGTAACTTTGGGACTGGGTCATAAGTACTTTTAATGGGGCTGTTGTAACTTTAAACCATCACTAAGTGAACTGTGGTAACTGGAGGACTATCCGTAATTTAATTTTGATTATATAATCAAAATAAATTGTATGACCCATTAAAACTTTTTTCTTCTTGAATTTGTTTCCATTTCCAAAACTAATAGTGATTCTGGTGATTATTCTTAGTCTTGCTGACATAACAATAATCTTCACTATATTTACTTCTCTTCTGGACTATCAAAATAATAACTATGTTGCATATTTCTTAAAAGTGTTTTAAAGTTTCCTGACAAGACATTGTATATATTTTAATAGTGACTATGAAGACAAGAAAAGCATCAGATAGATCTTTTCATACGGGAAAATAAGATTTATATATAGTTTCTCATTCTCTATATCTCAAAAATTCACCTGAACTTTAAATGACTCTTGACAGAAACCTTTTTCATCTACCCAGATCACCAAAATGGGAAGGCAGGCTATATTGTGAGTCCCGTCTATTAAGAAGGTTCACTAAACAGGATCTAAAAGAAGGGCTTTCTCTATAGTGGCTCCCTTCTTCTGAAATATCATTTCCTTGGAAATAAGTTGACCCTCTGCTTGCTATTTTTTCAGAAAGCCCTGAAGATATGGTTCTGTCAGCAGATCAGGGGATCCCAGACTGATTCAGAGTCCGTCAGTGGCTCCATATTATTGCATTTGTTACCACCATGGGTGAGGGGTCTCCCGGAGTTTTTATATTGTTGTTTTTTAATGATGTATGGTACTTGGAGTCATCATGTGTGAGTTGGGCTGCCATATAAATCTATTTAATAAATAAGAGATTATTCATTCACTATAGCAGTTTTCAGAAAATCATTTTGTTACAATATGCCATCTTATGGAGATTCTCAATCATCCAGGTCATGATTGTCCCACAGATGCTTTTTCAAGAGGCAAATGGACTTCGTTTTTCTTTGAGTCTACATTTTGGACAAAGAGGACCGCTAGTTTGAAAGACAGGTCAAAGAGGGTATATAGGTCAAAATTAAATAGCCCTCTCTCAACAGTGGGTGAGGGATATGACATCATCTATTTCCAGTGTACAACACAGTCCTTTTAGTAATTCCAAGAAGACTCCACACCCATTTGCAGTACTCAGATGACCCTGAGGATACAAATAAACCTCCAAGTACCCTCGATGACTCTCTAAAAGAATGCAAATGACTAACTGTCTGCAAGGAGCATAAATACTTCCATTCCCTACCAATCACTCAGAGCTGAAGATTTTTGGATAAGAAGCAAAATGTCTTCAAAGAAAAACAAGAAAGTCCAGTTGGCTCTTGAAAAAGCACCTTTAGGTGCCATGTTATGATAACACCTGATCTGCTACATGTAATGTAGTTTTTCCCCAGCTCTCTAAAATTAACACATTTCATATTTTAATATGCTTTTAGAGATATACTGAAAAAACAGAAAAAGCTTCTGCCAGAGGATGTTAGCAGCTAAAAGAAATATGATCATTTGCTTACAGTTGTAGGATATGAGATCACATTTAGAATAACAAGGCTCAAAAGATAGTTTATTCCATTTCTAGTCTATAAGAACCTGCATTCTGCAAAGTGCAACAGTCATATTAGACATTATCAGCCAGCTATTAATAATACACATTGAGCTATGTATGTACTGTAGAAGCCAATATCTATCATCAGCATACATAAGTCATCTTTTCTGACTGAGCTGTCTGGCAAGTGCTGGGAGGGCTGAAAACAGATGGGTCACTTATCCCAAGCTTGAGGTCAAAGAAACGAGTGGAGGTTGTCACACTGTAGTTCTTGGTGTAGGTTTCCTGAACTGGGTAACAGTCCTTGACTGTGTAAACTCCCACCCAATTTTCAACTGTAATGAAAGAAGCACAAATTCTTACTGGTTTTAGAGAAAAGCATGATTTTGAGTTTTCAAAGTAAATTACAAGACAATACAAAATAATTTCCATTTTCCTGACCACAAATGAAGGATTAATGCAATCATCCTTAAAAGCACTAACTCTGGGAATTGGTTTCATTGGTTTCAATGCAATTACTCTGCAGTGAGTGATTTCACAGTTAACGTAAGAGTGAAAGGTTAGTAAGAGCACCACTAGAAAAAAACAAGCCCCAAAACATTTTTTTAATGCTTTCAAGTCAATGTTGATTCCTGGTAGTGTCTGGAAAAATCCCTGCAGTTTCCTTGGCAATTTTGGAAGTGATATGTCATTGCCTCCTTGCTAAGGCTGAGACAATGACTGGCCCAAGATCACCCAGTTAGCTTTAAGCCTAAAGTGGGACTAGAAATCACCATCTCCTGGTTTCTAACCTGGTGCATTAAAACTACACCAAACTCTCCCCTTGCAAACTTGAGTGTTTTATATATCCAGATCTGTTCAAAATCTACTGGCTAATGCTTTCATATGTGACATTTGCCTGAATGAATATATGTAAGAATGGGTTACACAACTTTTTATAATTGAATTGGAGAGCTGTGCATTTTTAAGAATAATTGTATTTTGGCCTGTGTACTGTAAAATGGGGAGCTGCATCTGGTAAGTCATGTTTCCCATTTTATGAATTAGGCTAACTAAACTCTAAACATTTTGCAAGTCTAGGAGAAACAATGTTATAATGTTTCGTAGGTGCCCTGCTGGCAGGTTATTTGTTTTTAAAACTGAAATCTAGGGATATATCCAAAATTAAGACTAGAAAATATTTTTAAAATTCAAATTTGAATTTGTCAGTGCTTATACAAATGAGAACATAAAATATATTTCTTGTATATATGCTGATAATCACATAAGAATGATAACAATATAATGATGATGATGTTCACATGGGGACAAATTATCTCATTTAGGATCAGAAAATAATAATATAATACTTACATTTCCTAGCTGGCTTCCTGTCAGACCATTCCTGGACCATAATTTGATCACTTGGTCCTCCAATGTAGTACTGATCTTCATACGTTGAGTTGTCAGGAATGTCATAAGGATCCCAAGGCTCACTCAAAGAAATCTTGGAACACAGCTTTGTCAGTTGTTCAATCTGATACATTACTGCATCTTTATAAAGATATATGTATTCAAAAAATCTGAAACAGGAAAATTGGGGTAAGATTCTTGTTCGTATAATGTAACACAACTTAGAGGACATATTTAGTTACATCAATTACATCTGTCCACTACCTTTTAATCAATAACTAATTATTGATTTAATCAATATTTAGTTATTGATTAAAAGGCAGCGGATAGATCTGTGGATTTGTAAGGTAGGTTAGAGATTTCAAAGAGAAAGTATTAAAGTTATCATCAACTATAAGTCTTAGAATTCCTGAGTAAATTCCTGACAATCTTATTGACATAAAAATAATGTATATTTTTACATAGCGTGTTTCCCCGAAAAAAAGACATGCCCGGATAATAAGCTCTTTCGGGCTTTTCAGTGCATGCAATAAGCCACTCCTGCAAAATAAGCCCCCCCCCATCAACTACTTACACGCATGCGCAGCTGGTCCCATTTCCTCTGGTTGCTTGCAGTGCAACCAAAATGAGTTGAGGCGGCGAGGCTGGAGGGGAAGGAAGGGGGGGAGATACTTTCCCCTCCCTGTTCTTCGCGCCGGCCAAGTGGCCCAACACGTCCCACCCCACCCCAATGGCAACAGCAACCTGGCTGCCTCCCTTCCCTGCCATCTCTTTATCAAGAAGGGTGGCAGGTGGGGCGGGGGAGAAGTAAGACACATGAAGCGAGACGTGGCTCCCCTTAACATCCCTTCTCCCCCCCCCTCGCCGGGCATCATAGGGCTCCTGCCCCTTGCTTAGCCACCCACCCCCTTTAGGGATACAATTTGGGGGTGGCAGGTGGGGCGGGCGAGAAGTGGGATGCAGGTCTTACCTTTCTGTCGCTTTCTTCACCATTGTGTCCAGGAAAACACGCTGTAAAAGAAAACCTTCTTGCGAATTCAAACTTCGCTCCACGCATCCTGCTTCTCCCCCACCCACCAATCCTCTCGATAAAGAAATGGCGGGGAAGGGAAGCAGCTGTTGCCATTGGGGTGGGATGTGTTGGGCCATTTAGCCAGCGCGAAGAACAGGGAGGGGAGGCGACTGCAGCGACAGGACATCCAGTCCCACACTCGCCGTCTCCTGCATCCCCAAAATAATAAGACCCCCCCATAATAAGCCCAAGCCTTATTTGGGGGGGGGTTGAAAAGAAAATAAGACCCTGTCTTATTTTTGGGGAAACACGGTAGTTTACATTTTAGTTCACTTGTCTTTGTACCAATCACTGAAAGTTTGAAACCCCTTTTTTTCCCTAAATTATAGACAACTGCCACTCCTCTTCACCTCAATTTTTTCAATCTTCAATTGGGTAAATTTGATATTGTGGTCAGAAAATTGCAAACTGTGGGCTATAATGCAAGCATATATTTTTCAATATTTAATTGGGAATGATGTCATAATATATAGGCAGATATTCAAAAATCAAGATCGAGGTATGAACAGAATCAATCCGGTAACTATGCAATAATAATGGGAAGAGAGCAGAATTTAAGCTTGAATCATTTGTGTATATATAATACTTTAAACAGTCCATACCTTTAAAAAAACCCTCTCTTTACACACTAAGGAGAAGGCTATACTAAAATACTGTAGTCTTGTGCAAAATACTGATTATAGCCATGATGGCGAAGCTATGGTACGTGTGCCACAGGTGGCACACAGAGCCCTCTCTGCCAGCCTATGAGCAGTTGCCTAGCTCAGCTCAACCCTGCATGTACGGGCACCTCCCACCAGCCAGCTGGTTTTCCGGTCTCTTCCAGGGAGCGGGGCACATGCGGGAGACATATGTGCATGCCAGGGGTGGGGGGCATGCACGGGGGCAGGGGGAGCACAGCGGGGTGCGCCCCCACGCAGCCCATTTTGGGCCTAGTAGCCTCTGCAGCGTCCTGGGCACATTTTTTGTCCCAGGAGGCTGCAGGGAGGCCTACTAGGTTCAAAACAAGCTGCAGGGGGGTCATGTGTGCATGCACGGAAGCAGGGGGAGCACGGGGGATCGTGCATGCATGCACGGGGGAGGGGCAGTCACACACGCATTAAATTATGGGTGCAGGCATGAAAGCACTTTCGGCACGCGACGACGAAAAGGTTAGCCATCACTGGACTGGTAAAGCAGAACGCCACTTTCTCTTGTAGTATAATGCAATATTGAGCATAAAGTGAGAATTGAAAGGGGATTATTTAGTTTTATACCCATTAGTTTTCCATGAGCCCATTGATAATTTCACTTATGAAAGAAATCACATTCAAAAATATGGCCTGCTAATGAGAAAAATGCTAAGGAAATTTGTCAGTTATAATCAATAGATGCAAGAGGGATTAAATATTTCCTCACCTTTATTCTGGGTTGACCAGAAATGAGTTGGAAGATATTAAATTGCCAAGATAATGTTTTATTTGTTTACCACATATATCTTTAATCTATGTAAGATTAAAAACACTACAATTTTAAAATTGTAACGTAAACATGCTAACCCATCTGCAGACTAATAGAAGTATCTGGAATTCTATTATCTGTTTATTTTATTTTGTATATCGTGTGGACTGAATCAAAGAGGGTTTCATTGCAACTGAAAATATCTGATTATATTTTTATTTATTTATTATTTATTAATTTTATTTCTATACCGCCCTTCTCCCGAAGGACTCAGGGCAGTGTACAGCCTAATTAAAAACACAAAGACAGAGTTTAAAAATAATTAAAATTATTAAATAATAGGCCCAATTTATAAAACCCCAAATTTAAAATCCCATTTAAAACCAATTAAAATCTTTACATTGATAGCCCAGCCTGGCGGAACAACATGGTTTTGAGGGCACAGCGAAACACACGGAGATCAGAGATTTTACGAATTTCTGGGGGCAGATCATTCCAAAGGGCAGGGGCTCCCACAGAGAAGGCCCTCCCCCTGGGTGTCGCCAGCCGACATAATTTGGCCGATGGCACCCTGAGGAGACCCTCTCTGTGGGAGCGAACTGGCCGGTGGGAGGCTACTGGTGGCAGAAGACGGTTGCATTCTGACCCTGTGCTTCATTGTAATATTAGATGAAAACTGAACATAAAATGATTCAACATGCAAAATTTGGAATTACTTTCATCTCTAGCTCTTTTGTGCCATGGTCAAGATAGAGTAAGAAAACATAGCCATTATTCTTTAAAAATACATAGTCCTTGACTTATGACCAACATTTCTATTGTTAAGTGAAACATTTGTAAAGTGAGTTTTGCGCCATTTTAACTACTTTTCTTTCTAAAGTTGTTAAGTGAATCACTGAAGATTTTAAGGTTAACATGGTTGTTAAGTAAATCTGGCTTCCCACTGACTTTGCTTGTCAGAAGGTAGCAAAAGGTGATCATATGACTCTGTGACACTGCAACCATCATAAATCTGAGTCAGTTGCCAACCATTACAACCATGAGGATGCTGCAATGGTCAAAAGTGTGAAAAACTGCTGCTATAACTTTGAACAATAAGTAAATTAACTGTCGTAAGTCACTTTTTTCAGTGCTGTTATAACTTTGAACAATAAGTAAATTAACTGTTGTAAGTCGATGACTACCTGTATAAAAAAAGAACAGGACAAGATTGCCCATTATCCCTCTTCTGTTTATTTTGGTTCTTGAAAAACTGAATAGGTACATAAAATGAAAGGATTATGGAATTAAAATTTTAAAAGAGACATAGAATTTAAGAACTTTTCTAGATGACTTGGTATTGGTTTTGGAAGACCCTTTAAAGGTATTTGGTATGTTGTTAATTGGTAAATTAAAAGAATTTGAGGTATTAGCAGGCTTTAAGACTATAAATAATAATAATAAAAATTGAGAAGCTGCAATGGTCAAAAGTAGGGAAAAACTGTCATAAGTCACTTTTTAAAATCCTGTTGTAATTTTGAACAGCCATTAAATGAACTTTTGTAAGTCGAGGACTACTGTAGTATTTAGTATATTTCTAGGAATTGTAGTTATTTTGTGGAACTTGGGAGTTAAATTATTTGAAAAATCTATCTTCTCCATAGTGTGACAACGGGAGGTGCCAGGCTGGGTTATTCTAGGCTCTAGCTCTATGGACTGAGTTGAAACTTCTGAGGTCCCGCCTCCCTGGTGAAGTTCCTCAATTTTCTTCAACTCGGCCTCTGCTCATGGACGCAACTTTTTTCACTCCAGAGCTTTGAGTTGAGTTTAGACATAATTCCCTGGAAAATTTTTCTTTTTTATTTCTTTTTCCTTCTTTTCCCTTTCAGGAATGTTTTGATTGTTTGCAGCGGGGGAGGGCTCTCCGCGGCTACGGATTTGAGCTGGGGGGTGGCCCCTTTGCAGCGCCTCCCACCCTCCCCAATCCCCATAGGTTCCTGCCTGGTTTTGGGGTGCTGCCTGGCTGGGTTTCGCCCCAGAGACTGCGGCTTGGCTCTGAAGTATCGAGGAGGCCTGGATTGCAGCCGCCAGTGCCGCGCCAGCCTCCTAGAACCTTGGCGCGGCTTGCCTTTGATCCCTCCTGATCAGCTGTAGAGCGGGGCCATTTGCAGCCTTTGTGGATTCTGGCTGCCTGTTTGGAGTCGCTGCGGCCACGCCAGCCTGTTGCAGCCTGGCCGCGGACTGTTGCCTTGCCACCTCACCTGGTAAGCGCTGGAAGCACAGTGGTGGTCAGTGCCAGCCGCCGGACCACGCTAGCCTTCCTTAGCCTGTCGCGGTCCCTAATTGTCTTCAGTCAGTCGCGGTGGCCTTGTTTCTCGCACATTTGTTGGCGGCCTATAGTCGAGCGGCTTTGGCCCCCCCACGGCATTGGACATTTGGCACAGGACTGGTAGGGCTCTCCGCGACAGCGGATGGGAGCCCTGGACAATTACTAGCCCTTTGTGGAGCCTGCGGGCTTGCATTGCAGCCTGACCTGGCTGGACCGGTGAGCCTGATCCTGGCCACTAATTTTGAACAGCGACGGTTGGAGCTGCCATTTTGAGGTTCCAGTGGCCATTTTGTCTTCAATCTGCCTCATGGGATCAGGCCAGTGTTTTGACTTTACACCCTGTTTCAACT